TTGTGTGTATTGGCATCCTGTGCTTGTGTGTGATGGCATCCTGTGTGCATGTGGTGGTATCCTGTGTGTCTGTGTGTTAGCATTGTGTGTGTGGTGGCATCCTGTGTATGTGTATGTGTGCTGGTATCCTATGCTTGTGTGTGTGTGTGTGTGTGTGGTAGCATCCTGTGTGTGTGGTGATATCCTCGGTGTGAGTGGCATCTTGTGTGTGTGTAGTGGCATCCTGTGTGTGTGGTGGCATCTTGTGTGTGTATGTGGTGCTATCCTGTGTATGTGTGTCATCCTGTGTGTGTGTGGTAGCCCTGCGTGTGTGCACGTGTAGTGGCATCCTATGTGTGTGTGTGTGTGTGTGTGTGTGTGTGTGTGGTGACATCCTGTATGTGCGTGTGGGCGGGAGGCAGGTGTTCACATGGCCCTAACACAGATAGGCACGGCAACCCTTCCACGGAGAGACTAGCGCTAAGCCCCAGTGACTGATGAGCTGTGTTCACTCCAAGCAGCCTCCCCTCTGGGTGAGCCTAAGAACCAAGAGAAAGACTGGGGTCAGTCCTGCTCACGACTGGGGAGCACTGAGCATCACCAAGCTGCTGGCAGCTGCCCGCTAGGACACAGGCCCGAGAATGGTCGTCTGGGTGAGCAGGACTTCTCGGCCTGGGCTCCTGATGGCCTGCAAAGGATTTCTTTACACTTAACACTCCAGCTGCCAGGCCAGCTTTCTAGCCCTTCCCCTCAGACCACGCTCCCCGCCCGCCTTCTTCACGTGGCCATCCAGGGAAGATTCTGACGGGAAGCCGGCGGGAATGCAAGGGAGACTCTTCACTCTCCCTCCGTCGCCGGGCATGCCAAGGACTCTCTGGTTTGCCCTTTTTCCTCTGAGCGGTTCTAACTGTTACCATCCATCAAACAAGAACGTTGACGGCTGAGGCACCTTCAGCCTGAAGACGCAGTGATAGATTAATTTCTTGATCCAGTGCCAGGACTTACAGAGGCATACGAAACAGACATCAATAATTACAGCTTGTACTTTAGCTGTTGGATTCTAAACCTTGAAGTTCAATGAACAAGTAATAACTGGACGAACACACCCTTCAGAAATTAGAGGTGGGAAAAGATTACCTCATTCCATGCCCGCCAGGGAGCAGGCCCCCTGCAGCAACATTGCAGGGTGGGAACGGGGGGTGCAGAAGAGCGGGGGGCTGGGGCGCCCAAGAGTGCCCGCGAGAGGGCCCCGCTGCCCAGGGAGCCACGGCTGGGCTGCTCGAGGTTCTGCCCTGCTTTGTGTTCTGGGCTTCCTTCAGAAACCCGGTCTGGACGGCAGACATGTTCCTTTCTTAACAAAGGCTCTGACGCTTGGGGAAACAGAGGCTTTTCCTCCTTGAGTCTAAAAAAGGATCGACTCATACCAATACAGAGAAAATTAGCCTTCAGGGTGCCCCTCGTTTCAAGCACAGCTCGGACCCAATGTGCCTCGCAGCATTTCACGGCCAGTCACTATTCCCGGGATCCCGATGACAAAAGCCACCGTCAGGGCAGGAGGCTAAGGGAATTCCAGCAGAGAGACAGGGGCACCTGGGCACATCCCGGGGGGCAGGCGAGGCTGCCACAAGCCCTGAGTGGTGGGTGGCTTCTCTCTCCTGTGTTCCTCTGCCACCGGCTGCCCAGGAGTGAGGATGCCCTGTCCCCGACAATTTGACGCTGGTGTCTGCGCTCGAGTCACAACTCGGAAGAATGAAGCTCTGCTCACTGCACTCATATCTAAAAAACGTCCCAAACTGGAACACAGGGCAGTTAAGCCTCAGTTCCTCAGTTCAAAAACCAAGATTAGTGATGGAATCTTCTTTTTGCGAGTTCGCTGATATTGACCCTAATGCAAACACTCCCTTCCCAGCTAGGTTTACATGAGAAAACCTTTGAAAGTCGCGCCCTCTTACTTCATTATATAAACCAATGCCCTGAACTGCCTGGTGCTGCCCTGGGTTTATAGTGCCTCAAACTTTCCAAAGAACCTGCAGAGCGATTCCGACGTTCAAGGCACTGATGCCACAAATACCAATTGACAGCTGATTTTTGAAAAAAAGATTTTCATTACATATTTTGTCCAAATATTACTATTTGTTTCATGAAAGTGAGGGCTAAGACTTGAGTAGCGTGTAAATTTTAAGCCAGTGAATAAACAGTTGGCTTGAAAAAAGCATTAAATTGACATGCAAAGCATTTTTTGCTCTGCCAAGTACTAAAAATAAAAGTAACTTCTGCCAACATGGAAAAACTCGAATTGTTCCAGTTGGTCCTGAATTCGACTACTAGGTTTCAATAAGTTAATTTTCCAAAATGGAGCCTGACATAACATTACCTTATTTCCCCGAACTGTATCTCTTAAAAATAACAACAGGGTAAGAGAGATGACGCAGTGAGTAAGGCACTTGCCTTGTATGTGCAGATATACGCAAGAGAAACAGATACATGAATAAAACAAAACAACGCATACCATAGCAAGACACCTATTTCTTTTCAAAAGTGGCATCTTTACCTAACAAAAGGAAATGTGGATGTTTTGAAAAGCAAGTTTGTCTTTTCTTTTTCGTTTTCGGGGCTATACCCAGTGGTACTCAGGGCTTACTCCTGGTTCTTGTACTCAAGGATCACTCCTGGAGGGGCTCTGAGAACCACGGCTGGTGCCAGAGACGGAACCAGGGTCAGCCAAGTGCAAAGCAACCACCTTATCTCCGGTATTGCCTCTAGGACTCTGGTTAACTTCCATATAAAGAATCAAATCTAAGTCCAGTGAGATAGATGAGCAAGTAAGCCACTCGCCTTGCAAACGGCTAACATGGATTAACCCCAGGTTAATCTGGACTCACCCCACATCCCATATGGTCCCATAAGCACCACCAAGAGTGACCAAGCACAGAGCCAGGAGTAATCCCTGAGCACCTGTACTATCTCTCTGGCCCAAATCAGTCGATTTTTAAATGTGAGACTCTAAACAACAGGAGTCAGAGTACAGATTATCATTTGATTCCTGTCATGGACCTGCCCCTCCCTTGTCTCTCAAAAAAGTATGTTCCAAGCATGGAGCTCAAAATTTATGATCAGTTGCAGAAACCTGTTTAACTACTGATTTATGGTCCTGGCCCAGGTATTTAACTCTGTCATCAGAACTAATTATAGCAAACCTGAGATTACACACTCAAACTCTCCTTTTGGTGAAAGAAATAGAATGTTCTGCTGAAATCCAGAAACATCCCGAGGCTCCCAAACAAGCTTCTCAAGACCAATGCTCTACAGCTCAAAATTACTGTCTGCAGTGCGCTGTTTTAGCCTCAAGTACTTAAACAGTAAATCACTGTTACATTAATGCCATACCGATGGCTCAAAACAGATTCATCTCCGTTAACAGGAACTGATGTTTACGTTACGGATCTAATTTAGGCTTCTGGTGGTAGTAAATACACATGTCGAAGCTTCAGGAACTGAAGTTATTACCAATCCACAAAGAATCTTTTATTTTGCAGGTGGAGAAGACAATGACCACCTTCTGGGCAACGTGGGTCCTCTGAGAATAACGTTCTGTTTTATTGCTTTAATGAAGAAAGGGTCTAATTTGAACTGAGGCTGATAACATAAAACCAGTCCCAAGCGATGAGTGAGGCAGAGTTTCACCCAAGACGATTCCAATCCTTGCCCCTCTCTCCCTGGCCTGCTGTACCGTGATGTTTGCCTGTTTTTCACAGCGGGACTTTGGATATGTGCCCTGCGCCCCTGGCAGATGAGTCTCTGCTGTCTGCCATCAGGTGCGGGCTGGGCCTTTACTGGCTTCCAGGGGAGGGCTGGGCAGGGGGTCCTCAGCTGACCCCAGAGGCAGCCACTCTGGCAGAGGCAGGGCCAGAGCAGACGGGAAACGAGCCTGCAGGGGTCAGCAAATGCTCTGAGGAAAAAGGCTTGGGAAAAGGCAAAAGAGGCGGCGGCAACAGGGCTCCCGGATCAGGCCCATCTTGGAGCCGCGGCTGTGAACCAGTCTGTGCTCCTTCTGTTCGGAGAGCAGGGGGTCCCCCAAGCCCAGCCAATGGACTGCGGGAAAGAAAAGTCCCTGTGCTGCAGTGTTCACCCAGGAGGAACCTGAAATGAGATGCTGGAGATCAGTCATGTTTGATAACACCTACATAACATACTGGCGGCGGGGGTGGGGGGAATACTCCTCAGAAAATTTCCTAATAGTAATAGGCGGTTCAGAGATCTTTTCATGATGAAGTCTCTGAAGATTAAAAACAAAAACAAAACCTCTGTCACTATGGCACCATAATTTCGTGCAATGTTTTTACTATTGGAAATTTAAAAACAATGACAAAACTATAACCAGGGCTCGTCTTCTATGCTCCTGATGCTACCAACCCAGAGGCTTCTATCGGACTGTCCAAGGCCAGGAAGGGAAGTGGAGGGTGGAACCACACTCAGTAGTGGCGGCGAACTTGAGCAAGCACTGAGCAGGTAAGCACCTGGGAGGCAGAAGCCCGCTGGGAAATCCCATGCTACTCACAAGGTTTCCTCCGAGCCCTTCTAGTTAGGACTCGGCGACCCCATGGAAACTACCACGACATCAATCCTCTCTTTCTCCTTGTTCATTCAGTCATTCAGTCTCTCAAGCAAAAGTTCAGAAGAGGAGTACAACCAACAAACCATGTTCCCGAGAGAAACAAAGTCACTGTCTCTAACTGCATAACACAGCAATATCACGCTCTTGTAAGAATCACACTGTAAAGAATGAGATGGTTGAAAAGGAGTATTTAGGGATTACGGCCTTGACTTGAATATGGCCAACCCAGGGTCAAAATCAGATACCACACCATATATGGTTCCCCAAGCACTACCAGGAGTAACCCTCGGAGCAAGCCCTGAAGTAAGACCCAGAGTAACCCCTGAGTACTGCCAGGTACACCACCCTTCCCCCACCTCCCTAAAAAACCTAAGAGAAAGCATTTCCAATAAGAGTTAAGTCATCCTCCATATAATAAACTTATTTTTATTATAGTATTTTATCTAAAGGTACACAAAAAATAATTATTTTACTTGCTGACTAAAATATCAACTCTACTACCTCCAATAAGATAATTAAACTCATTTGCAAAGGCAATAAGAAAATTTCTTGCACTTAAGGCTAATTCATTATAAACAAATGCCACTCTTATAAACACAATTCCAATTGAGCGCAGTTACACTGAGGACGGATTTTTCAAGAAAGCAAAGGGAGTTCATTGGCTATGCTACACCACATGGATGCAAAGTAAAATTGATTTTATACTGGAGGACGATGTAAATATACAAATAAACACACTCTTATCTTCTGCCCGGGTGTAGTCTTAGATTTCCTGCATAGGAACAGAATGCACCGTTTCGTTCACTTCAATAGTGAACTCTTTAGGAAAGAAATGAACAGATTTGATAATCAGCACTCAAATTTTATGCTTATTTTCACTTCCTTCTATCAATTTCCAGATATATGTAACACAGCAGGGGCATCTTCTTAGTAAACTGAGCTGCTTAAGACTCCAGTGGAAACTCGGGACTCAAATGTCTTCACGCTGGCGAGTCACATGTATCCCATGTTGCTTTTCGTTTCCCATCTCTTCTTTGCCTCAAACCTAAAATAAAGAACACAAAGAAATTCATTTCTAACATAAGTCATGGAAGGAGCATATTTGCCAAGTGCCAAGTGTAATGTGCTAAGTGCCAAACTAAAACACATACAAAAATTTTTTCCACATACTCCCTCAGTAACAAGATAAAAATCAAACAGAATGAAGAAATACCTCCAAATTTACGATCCAGTGCACATTAAGTAAAGCTACAAAGAATAAAGTGGGTAACAATTATAGGCCCTCGAGGACCACAAAATGCACCACTGGATTTGCCCTTACATTAGAATCACTACTAAAAATCCCTGATCAACTTACCCCCATGCAAGCTTCTTCTTTTTTCGAGCAGCCTGTGAATTTTCGGCTTCTTTTTTGGCCTTCATAAACTTATGGCAGGCAACTGCTTTTGTAATTTTTACACCAAGCTACAAATTATTAAGAAAAAGAAAAAGAAACATTACAACAAACATAATGACAATGCATGTCTCTGGACACTTGTGGGTACGGAAAATCACATCTCCAACAGCGAAGTCTGTGCCCCCGTGAAGAACCAAAGGAGAACCAACCCTAGCGGCCCCAATTTCCTTTCCATGAGGGGCACCGGGCTCCCCATGGAAATGCTTCCTGACCAAGGCGCCTCGAGGGTCCCCAAGGCCGTGATGAAGATCTACAAGCTATTTCAGCATTTCAGTAGGCCAAACAGGAATTTACCCCTGATAAGACTGTGCCGGCTGACAAAGACATCAAGTTTCTTTGCTCTGGGCTAGAATTACAGCAACTCAGTATGGTCACACCAGTTATCCCATGCTGATCTGACGCCCTGATTGGCAGTCACAGATGTGATTAATAAAACATGGAGAAGCTAATTACTACTTCACAAATGCACTCTGTATGATGGGCCAGGCTTTTAATTCACTGATAGGAGAAAGCATATAATGATGTGAAGGGGTGAAAGGCTGGCCCGCAGACCGAGGTCCTGAGTGTCCCCTCTGTTCCTGCTTGCCCCTACGCTGCTCTGTCCCAGTCCGACAAAGACCAACCAAAACGAAAGCCCTGGCCCAAAGTCTCCTCTAACTGAGCCTGCGACGGTCTCTGCTGCCATGTCCCAACACCATGGTCAGTCACCATTCCTTCTCCTGGCAGTCCAGCCTAGAGCTGCCTCCCCGTCAGTAAGTCGAGGGGTGTGTTCCAGTTGTAGCAGGCTCTGGTGTATCAAGGAAGATCTCTGTGGATGGTCTAAACTATCTGCTGAGAGCCTCCAACAAGCAACAAAGGTCACAGATCTCCTTCCAGTGTTTCTTTCCTTCTCCATCTCTGTATTCCAGTTGAAGCATGTTGTTAGGCAACAGACTCTGAAAGCAATTCTAGAAAGCAACAGTAGAAAGTGACCGTGCCCTCAAGTTCGTGCATTCCAGCTGGAATTTTAGGGCAAGGTGTCTGTGAAAGAGGCGAGTGTGAGCAGAGACAGCAGCTTAGGAAAGGGATACTTGGCACGGGTGGCATTTGTTTCTGTTTTCCCCAGAGAACCATTTCCTCTAGGGTGAAACAGTCTTCAAGCACTGACTAGGACTTGCAATTGCAAGCCATGACAGATCTGAGTTTTCAGCCCAGGAAAAGATTTATATGAAGAACGGAAGTATAAGGAATCAATCCTAGATGTGAAAATACAAGCTGGCAACTGGCAGATGAACTTGGTCAAAACAGTAACACACAAAACCCACGATTCCCTCTGGCCAAGCGTTTGGTGCTTGTTCACAGTGTCCCGGTGGGTGGGAAGGAGGCTGTGAGCTCACTAGGGTAGAGGCAGAGGCCCTGAGCACCTCAGCTCCAAGCCCGCCAGAACCCTGTGCCAGGGCCCGCCCACAGG